GTAAGTATTAGCTATTTCGTATCATCTTATTCATAAACATAACATAGCACCACTGGCCTTATTACTGGGAATGGTGTTGTGGAAGATCACAGACTTCCAACCCAGCTCCCAAACACTCTGCATCTCTGCCTTCTTCTCTTCACCTGGCCCAGTGATCTTCAAATGTGGCCCTTTCTCAAGAACAGCAAAGCCTTCAGGGGAGATGTAAGGTTTATCACCATAGCAATTTAGAAAGTTAAAACTCACTTTAACTTTACTAGGATTACTTATCTTAAGTAAATAGAAACTTTTGGGCAGACTAGAAGTTAAAGGTCTCAGACAATCCGAGGAATTCCTTGAAACAAAAGCTCACATAAGTTTTCTTTCCTTGTATTTCTTTTTTTTAATCTTAAATCTGACTTGACTCTTTGGATCTGAACTGGCCTGGCCTGCTTCCTGTCTAACCCTCCTAACTCCTGTACTTGTAATTACCTGTTTCTTCCCCAACGCCACTGGAGGGGTCTCTTCCTAATTATGTTGTACAAAGTAGAGGAGTAGGATTCGAGGAAGTTAAAGAAACAATTCCTACCCTCCAGACACAAGGGACTATTACACACGCACTGACATTATCTCATTTCAATATGCTCTACTTATTATACTGATACTATGTTTATCAATGTTAAAAGAGTGGTGTCACCCATAATGGCTGTATAGAATGAGAGATTAGTCAGCTACAGGGAGATCAAGAAAGACTTCCTGCACAAGATGGAACAGGAAGGATAGCAGGATTTAGATAGGTAATTTTTAGTGAGGGAAGGGCAGGGAAAATGACATGTTTTTGGCATTTGTGAAATATTTTATAATTAGAGTAAACAAAATGAAATAAGAAAAACAAATAAATAGAGACTGGAAAACCACTTAGGAGCCTGTAATACAATGTTTGCTTTTAAAACGATATGACACTCAATGAGAAAGGGCAGAAAAACAAGGTGTGGATTGAGAGGCAACATGAAAGTGGATCAGACAACTTATACATAGGTGCTGTCTCAGACGTGACATCTGAGGCTCCAGAATTGGAAGTTAATGCCATCTAGTAAATTCATATATATATATATATATATATATACACACACACACACACACACACACATATGTATGTATGTATACATACATATATATATGTAATTTTTTTTTTTTTTTTTGAGACTGAGTCTCACTATGTTACCCAGGCTGGAGTACAGTGGTGTGATCTCAGCTCACTGCAACCTCCGCCTCCCAGGTTCAAGTGATTCTCGTGCCTCTTGAGTAGCTGGGACTACAGGCATGTGCCACCACACCTGGCTAGTAAATTCATTAATGTCGAGTTATGGATATGTCACTGTAACCCTGCATATGTATGTGTAAATATTTATAAATCCATATTTTCTAAGCATTTGAATAATTTGAAATCTAAGCAGGGAAAAGTGAAGGTTGTCTTACTCTACATATTCACTGAGTAAAATTGTTAAGTAAGAGGATTATTTCTTATAATGTACTATGAACTAGGATCAGTTCACAAGGGAATATGCAAGGAAGAAAGTAGCTAATGTAGTCCTGGAGGCACAGATAGTAGTTTGTCCAAATCGCAGGAAATGATGCTCCATTGAGCTTTGTAGTTATTGGACAATTTATAGAGTTAGTTTATTTCTGTCCCGTGTATTTTCTTAAAGAGATTAAGAAACTAGAGTATAAGAGGTAGGGGTTTGCAAACCATTTATATGTGAAAGGTTAACATCTTGTAAATGGACTGATTATCCCAAGATGCTCTAGAAAACAAAATCAGGATATGCTGAGTAAATTTTAGCTTCTGAAAATTTTGGTTCCTGTAAATTTTAGCTCCTGAAAACATTCAACAACTCACACAACTCAAATGGAAAAGATTCTTTCCAGAGTAGTGCTGAGTCTTTCTTCCCACATACTTAACGACATCCCTAAGTAATTTCTGCTTTGTATAGAAGACTGGACTAGATGACATTTTCCTGCACCCTGTAAGATTTGTGATTCTGTCTTCTCATGAGAGGTGATGTAGACAATCTTGTGTGTGCATAATAAATGGAGCCTATTTTGTTTCAATTTGTTCTCAGAATCCCTCCAGTTACATTTCTGTTTTACTCACATTAACTTGGGTCTTGGTAGTAGTGCCATCTAGCTCAATGCCTGGATACAGTAGACACTCAAAACTACTTGTTGCTAGGCTGATTTACTTTTATGAATATACAGAGGAACAGAAGCACAATGATCGAATTTACCATTGCTTTCAACAGTAAACAGCCACAGAGTCCTGACTGTGGCCAACAGATGTACAGAAATGAGAAGAGATAATGGGCGAACATCCAGTATAAAACCTTAGCAAACATGGGTTCTGTTATCTATGAGTAAAGTAGCCTGAAAGATTTATTAACTCTGGTTACCTTAAGAGTTGATAGAATTGTTTCAGGTGGCCCAAATGAATGGAGATTCATTGTATTACCTCTCTATTTTGTTCTTTGCAACCTGGCAATGAACATATCCTCTCCTTCCTCTATACTTCTTTGATCTTATTATTTCTCTTATCCTAGTGTCCAGTGTTTTACAGTTATCAGGTGAATTAATTTTTTCACAGAATATTCAAATACTTTGTCCTGTCTACTTCTCAGAATTCTAATCGTTAACAAAGATACACAACTGTAATGTGCCAAGGTTCACAGGAAGAGATTTTAGAAAATAACCTATATTCCTTTAGCTCCATTTACTGGATAGCTCTTAGAAACTGTATGAAAAAGACTGTGTATGATAAGACTGTGTACATAGGTGTCTGGAAGAAAAGTGAAGGTGGGTTAGACAGAGAACAATGTTCTCAAGGCTTGTCAGGAGGCTGTTGCCAGACACCAGAGAAAATGGCTTCTGACTGCTTTTGTCGAATCAGCTGGCAGACATCCTTGTTCTGACCCCAGCTCCCACACGTCTCTTGCCAGACTTATGAGGGCTTTAGTTTTCCAGGCAATTCTGGGGTAAATTCAGTGCTCCTCTACCCACATCCATATAGATGTACCTAAATAATCCACATTCATTTTGATTCTTTAGTAAAATCGTATATTTCCACAAATTTCTTAGAAAAAAACATAATTTATAAAAGCAATGCATGATCTATCTAAAAACTTAGTGAATTGGAGACAAAGAAAATGAGGCAATAAAAAGTCTCTGTAGTTCTGCTGTCTAGAGTTAACCAGTGATGACAATGACATACACTCCAGGCTTTTTTCTATGCACAAAATTACATATTTGGGTGTTTAAAAAAATGGAACCACATAATCCATACAGTTTGGCAACTTGCTTTTTAAAAAGTTAACACTGAATCACAAACATTAAAGTTTGCATATATCTCAATTATGTGAAATTAACAAAATTTATCTTTTGTTGGACACTTAGGTTGTCCTGAATTGTTATTATAATGAACGTATTTATTATTAATATAATGATAAATGTATTTCTTATTAATAATATACTAATGATAAATGTATTTCTTTCACAGAAATACTCTCCCTACATCTTTATTGGTAGCTAAATGATTAGTGTTTCTCCGAAGCCAGGCTATGGAGTAACCTTTTTCCAAGGCTGGGGCTGGGGGTTAAATGTGGGGACAGAGAGTAACGATGAGTGCTTGGGCGGTGCCCTAGTGTTCTAGAGAGAAGCCTGGGTGTTGGGCTTCCTTAGAAGGGGACTCAAATCCTTTCCACATCTGGTGACCACACTGCTGTTTGTAGGGGAGAGAGGAGAATCAGAAAAGCAATGTACCAAGTAACTCGAAACAAAAGGAGTTATACAAGCAAAAGCTCAGAGGGGCATGGTGCGCCTGGGAAAGATGAGGCCTTCACAGTGGTTGTATCAGAGGGGTTTGCAGGGGAGATGAGATTATAGAAGTAGGCTTCAGAAGCATCATCAAGGAACTAGCTGAGGAGTTTGTACTTCGTTGTGTAGACAATGAAGGTTTTGATAAAGAACATGTATTCTTCAACCATTGGTATCAACAGGCCAAATTAAGATGTTTCTTTCTAGTAGTGGGTCTTGATTTTCTTTTTATTTGTGTTTTGGGCTTTGTTACATCATCTTTTAATGGTGGCACAATGGTCCAAGCCTCACTTTTCAGTTTTACCTTTTATTTGTTTATTTGTATATCCAAGATGTTTTCAAAGCCACCTTATTTGTTCCACAACTGTTTGTTTGGAAGTCAAAGCTGGGATCAGTGACTTGCTTCGTTCTAACATGTAGCTGGGACAATTTATAGAACTGATTCCATGAAATGATCTATTCAAAATCATGGTGGTCAGGAAATGGACACATGAAACCACAAAATACATTGCTACTGTTAAATCAGAATGGTAGTTTACAGAGGAACCCCTTTCCTCAAAGTCCTTAGAAAATTCCACTTCATACTTTTTGGAATGTTTTAGCCAAGTTAAGGCTAGGGTTAAGAGATGTAGCAAAAGGAATTCAAAATTAAGGAGAGTGGTATCCTTGTAGTTACCAAGCAGAAACTCTAAAAGTAACATTTGTCACATACCATTTTCAAATTAGCATCAGGTGCTCTAAATTCATTTCTTAAAACTATTTGTTAGCTTATCTATAATTTATTTATTTAAAAATACTTCTCTGAAATAAATTTGTGTTGGCTTTGCATTTACTGTTCTCAGAAGTATGAGAAGATCAATTACTGATATCAATGTTTGTTCTCCCTTAGGTGATTCTCTTTATGCATATTTGACTTACTATAGAAGTTATCATTTTTGTAGTTCTAATGTCAGTTTGAATTCAAATGATTCAAATGTCTACATCAGTGTTTCTGCTATCATTCATTTCTTTCTGTCAGTATTTTGCACAATAGCAAAATACTTTCCATTGTGTGGAAAGTGAAATGAATGTCATCTAACCTAGCTAATTTTTAAAAATTATAGAATTGAAAAAAAGGCTGTATCAACTAATTACCCTGATTTCTTCTTTTCTAGGTGACAATGGCCAACATCGGAATAAATGCAAATCATTCTCTGGAAACCTGTGAAACAACGCTTTTTGCTCTCCGGATGGCAACATGGAATCAAATCTTAGATCCTTGGGTATACATTCTTCTAAGGAAGGCTGTCCTTAAGAATCTCTACAAGCTTGCCAGTCGATGTTGTGGAGTGCATGTCATCAGCTTACATATTTGGGAGCTTAGCTCCATTAAAAATTCCTTAAAGGTTGCTGCTATTTCTGAGTCACCAATTACAGAGAAATCAGTAAGCATCTAGTTTAATAGGATGGTAAGTCAGTGTAGGACTAGAACAAAATTAAGAAATGTTTGGCAATATTTCAGTTAGTTAAATACCTGCAGCCTAACTGGAAAATTCAGAACTCATCATATAGTTTGAAGATACTTTTGTCAGATTCAGGTTTTGAAATTTGTCAAATAAACAGTACAATTGAACATTTTTCACTTGTTTTTGCTAATGGGAGGTAGACACAATGAAATGCGGCCATGGGAGTCACACTGAAAGCAATTTGAGCTTATCTGTCTAATTTATGCTTTGAGTGAATCATCTGTTGAGGTCTAATGCCTTTACTTGGCCTGTTTGCCAGAGAACATCTTAATGCAGTCTGCATAGTGAAATGGTTATTTTGAGATTACCACTCTATAGCTATTCCTTATAAACTAGGCCTCATTTTTTGATCTGGCCTATTTTGCCTCTCATTATGTAGCCTCAGTTAATACATGCATAGACACCTGGAATTCACGATGGTTTATTATAACAACCTCTGCATATTCCAGGCCTGGCTGACAGGTTGTCTGACTTTGCAATCCTGTCTAGAATGGGCTCATTCTTGTCATATTTGCCAAATACGACTGCTTACATTTATTACTATGAAGGTAGATGGTTGGAAGTGTTTTTCTTGATGTCATAGATAGCAATTTTCAAATAATCATTTTTTCCTCTAAAAATTTTAGTGCATGGTTGCACAATAAATAATTTTTAGAGAAACAAAGGCTTTATCTCAGCACATAGATGGGTAACTTGCATAACAGCAGTTTCAAAACTCTATCATGTATAGTATAAACAGAAGCTATGTGCCAGTGATAGGTGCAAAGAACATTGGCAAAAGGTGCTTTACCTTGAGCCATTATTTGTGTCAGAGAACAAAAGAAACATAATCAATATATATTATTTAAAGACTATCTGCAGCTAGTGTGTTTATTCTTTACACAAGTATATACACAGAGGCTGAGGCAGGAGAATTGCTTGAATCTAGGAGGCAGAGGTTGCAGTGAGCTGAGATTGCACCACTGCACTCCTGCCTGGGTGACAGAGCGAGACTCTTTTCTTTTTATCAAAAGAAAATTCTGTTGATAGCAGGTTGATTAAATTTGTAAGACACCATGTTCCAAAGCCTGTACTACCAGTACCAAGAGGGGAAGATTGGCAATTTGCCAAGCATTTGGGGATTATTATAACGATTAACTAGGAGATCAAGAGATAATAATCTCTCCCCAAATTTTCCACTAATAATTGAGACTTTGTCTTTGCTTGTTTGTATAATTCAACCAAAAGAATTTCAATGCTCTTTCAAATTGTCCTAAGTCTATCAGAAATTAGGGTAGGTAGTCCTGCTTTATAACAGGGAAATTCATTTCTGTGTAAGAGTTCTTTGCTTTAATTAACTTGGATCCATTTAAAAATTATTCCTCCCTGTTAGGCTGATTTCAGATTCTCTAGGAAACCTGTGTAATTCAATGAGACTTAAATTATTACACTCATAAATATCTGCTTTTGATTGGTCATTTACATTGGAAGACATTGTTAACTTTTAGTGAGTTTTGGTAAATTCCCATCAGTAAATTAAAAGGAATTAGGCAAATAGCCTCACTGAAGATCTAAAAGCAATAATTTTTCAGTAAGTTTAAAGAAGAGAAACACAAACATATTGGCACATGATATCCTTAAGACCAGTAAATAATAAATAAAACAAATTTAGGTTATTCTTATTTATAGAGCATATAGTAGATGCTCGACAAATACTTTCCAGGTTGAATTACAGACAAGAGTTCCTCAGTGTAAAATAAACACAGGATCTCAAAGTTTGGTGCAGTTTCAATTTAAACTGATGGTTATGGGTTATTGTGGTATATATGAGTGGATGTATGTATATACATGTGTGAATATGTGTGTGATATATATTTCTATAGCACATATGCTTTTAAAAAGCTGCTGCAATTGGTCACTGTTATTACATTTCATAAATGCTCTCATTTGTTTCAAGAAATCTTAAAGCCCAGAAGACCTTTCAGATGGTTTGTTTGCTTTCAGAGGTGATATTTATTTCATACAATTACATAAGAGTATTGATGTCATGTGAACAGAGACATAATTCAGAATCATTTTCTATCCTTCCTCATCATACTAGGTACAATGCTTCAGTGAATATTTCTGTGTATTTGGACTGAGGAGAGGCATGGAGAGGAAACTCTCATTTAGGGGCTGCAGGCCCCTTCTCGGACTTGAGGCTTCTAAATAAATGGCAGAATTCTTGCTCTATTGCCATGATGTCACCCTGGCCATATTCACTGCCTTGAGGAGCTCTTGCAACATGACCGTGTGTGAGAATGTATGAGTGTGCAAGGCTTTGAGGAGTGAGAGAGGGGTGTGCATATCCTAGGAGGATTATCTATGTTATCTGAGCATAGGTTTGGGGAACCAAATTGGTCTTAAAAATGATGTTAAAGCCAAGAAGTAGACATCAAAAACTGAAAAGAAAAAAATCATGTGTTTCCATCGTTTTAAGTTTTTCTTCTGAGAAAAACAAAATTAAATAAAAAACATGCAACACTGTGCATATCTGACTTCAGACTTTTATTTCTGTTATTAGATGTGTCGCATGTAGCCTGACAATTTACTGTATGATGAATAATAGACTGGAACATCTACCAATAATTTTCATACAAATGTTCAAAACAGAAGTATATTTGTTCAGGTTTCTAGAAATAAATAGTAAAATAAATAGTACAAAGTTTCAATAAATTTATCAATTTGAGTGTTTTTGGCTCTATTTCAAAACTCATAACTAATCTTTGGAGTAACCGAATTTCCCTTTGAACTGGGTAAGGCATTATCCAAACAACTTTACATACTATTTAAACATGATTTCTGGGTAATTTTATTATTCTGGGCAAATAACGTAAACATGTCAGGATTTTTACAAGTCCTAGTGATTTTTTTTTTTTTTTTAAAGATGAGACCAAAGCCAAAACATCACACATAGGTTTTTCTGACTATGCATACAAAGATAGGTAATACTAATTCACAGTTAGCTCTGGGTACATCTAGATATCAGACCTTTAACTGATGGGTTTAACTAGGGTGATAGAAATGTTTTTCTAGAGGCAGAAAGTTTTTTTTCTCTAGAGGCAGAAAGTTGCTTCTAATTATATACATAGCTAAAGTGAAAAATACCTGAAAGTTAATACACACATATGTAGATATATTTGTGTTATGTGGTAAATGGTCTTGTTTACACACTTCTGGACTTGAGAAGTCTGTATTTGTTTTGCACCTACTCTGAGTTTAGAACCCAAATAAGAGGACTTGTTAAATACACAGTGAACTTTTTGTGAAAACTGTTACTAGCTTCACCTGTATGCCATCATTGCTCCAAATTAAATTACTGTTTAGGGTCAGATTATAAACGCTTGGAATATACATTTTATTGCTTCTTAATCTAGGAGTCAAAGATTTTACCACCTGGTAAATAATGTTGGACTTCAACTTGTTACTGACACATTTTAATAGTAGATGAATTCCGTTTTTCTTTGTTATGTGAATAAATGTATATTGTGCTCTTCAGACTTGTTGGATTGTATAGAGATTAAATAGTGATATGTATATTTTGTTGTTTGCTTTGCTTTGCAACTCATGTAATTTCAGTGCTTTGACTAGCTTAAAACTTCAAACAAGTAATTTAACAATAAAGTTGGACTTTATTGTAAACTAATGTTTATCAGGAATGATTATTTTAGGAGGGCCATATAATACTTGATACTCTCGAACCTAAACTCCCATTATTTATTCATTTTTTAAAATTTTACTTTAGGTTCTGGGGTACACATGCAGATCATGCAGGATTGTTGCATAGGTGCATACATAATCAGGTGGTTTGCTGCCTCTACTCCCCCTTCATCTATATCCGGCATTTCTCCCCATATTATCCCTCCCCACCCTTTCCCCACCACTGTCCCTCCCCTAGACCCCCACCACGACCCCCAGTGCGTGATGCTCTTCTCCCTGAGTTTTTTGACAACCTCAAAATTACAGCACCATAAACTCCCCAAAGGTTTGTATCTCACCTACAGCTCCTGCCCACTTGGAAGGGGAGCTCTGTTGCTATAATCACTCAGAGAACTCAGGTGACAAAACAGCCACCTTTATATGTGGCTGTACGTCATGCTACAGGGAGTAAAAAACAGCATGGTGAATTACGCAGAGGCTGTTAAAACTTCCATCTGGAGGCAAAACACATTTGCAGACACTTCTCCAGCTAACATAAATAATGTGGCTTTGCTAACTTCCAAGGGGGCAGTTAAGTGCAATACTATGATACGTTAGGAAGAAAACTGAAACTAATTTGTAGACAACACTAATGACTGCCAGTTTAGGTAAAAAAAAATTTCATTCTTGTCTTCCTAATTGAATTAAAACAGCAACGATTTTAAAAAGTTGTTTTTAAAATTTAGGAATATCATGGCATAAAGACATTTAGGACTCACTCTTTGTAAGTACTGACAAGCATGGTCTTATGATCTGTAAAGATAAGGTAGAATAAATGCCATATATGCTGTTTATAACTAAAAGAAATTTTAGATCATTAAAAGCACTATATAATCGAAAGAGGGAAATCTTGGTTCTTAAAAATCAGGCAATCGAAACATTTCTCTACAATACCAAGCATTGTTGCAGTATTAACTGAAATTGTTGTTTTTCTAATAAATGAGAATGGCTAAAGTATTTTGCCTTTGCGCTTTTAATTTCTTTCTAATATCAGGTATTTACCTTGATATAAAGGTAATTCACTGAGTTCTATCAAATTACTGGAAAACTTGAAGTATAATTGCACTGGAACAAGATAAAACTGTACATTTCTTTTCTTTTGCTATCTCCAAGTGGGAACAGTGCCTTCATTTTGATCTCAAACATGGCAGTGCACGAAGTAAGTCAGAAGCTTGGTAAAATTAAATGTTAGTAATCTTGAGATGTAGGTTCATATAAACCAAATGTTCTGTTCTAAGCTCCAACTGAAAGTTATTGCACAGAATTTTTGGCAGAGCTGTCTTTTTGCCCTGCATAAATGTCAACTTAAAGCAATATGATGAAGATATGATATATGATTATGAGAAAGTAGTTTGAAGGTTTTTGTGCTGTCAGTCTCATATTTGCTAAAGTATATTTTCAGTAAACAATCTAGAGAGTTTATGAGAAAACCATAAATATATCACTTTACCTTTATCTTATAATAAAGAAGAGGCAGGGTTGTTGAAATCTGAAGGAACTATATCTTAAATTTGAAGTGCACTTTAAATTTTAACAAGGATCTAAACTCAGTCTTAGTGTTTTATATTTAACTTTATTTGAATTATTTTTAATGCCTGATTTGTAAAACCCCAAATTAACAAAATGCGTTGTGTTGTCATAATGCTAACTTCTATATTAAATGAGGCAATCTTGTACTAGATTATAGTTATTTAATTTTAGTTTTAGAAAGTGATACAGTTCCACATGGCTAGGGAGGCTCACAATCACGGAGGAAGGCAAGGAGGAACAAGTCATGTCTTACATGGCTGGCAGCAGGCAAAGAAAGCTTGTGCAGGGAAACTGCCATTTTTAAAACCATCAGATCTGGTGAGACTCATTCACTATCAAGAGAACAGCACAGGAAAGACCTGCTCCCATAATTCAATCACTTTCCACCCAGTTCCTCCCAGAACACATGAGAACTGTGGGAGTTACAATTCAAGATGAGATTTGGGTGGGGACACAGCCAAACCATAATATGAATGTATCATAATTTAAATAACAGTTTTCCTATCAATGGAGAATTGTTTTTGTTTCCAGTTATTTCCTTCTTTCTTTCTTTTCTTTTTTTTTTTTTTTTTTTTTTTTAGATGGAGTCTTGCTCTGTCACCCAGGCTGGAGTGCAATGGCTTGATCTTGCCTCACTGCAACCTCAGTCTCCCAGGTTCAAGTGATTCTCCTGCCTTAGCTTCCCAAGTAGCTAAGATTACAGGTGCCCACCACCATGCCCACTACTTTTTTTTTTTTTTGTATTTTTGTTAGAGACAGAGTTTCACCATGTTGGCCAAGCTGATCTCAAATTTCTGACCTCAGGTGATCTGCCTGCCTCCCAAAGTGCTGGGATTGCAGACATGAGCCACTGTGTCTGGCTCCCTCTTTCAAATAATGCTACTTCAATATATATGTTCTTATATTTCTATCTTTGCAATTTGCAGAATCACCGAATTAGACATGTTCATTTTCAATGCTGATATGTACTGACAAAATATGTATTGTGTAGTCCCATTCTCTTCTAAGAGAAAATGTTTGATTCTTGAGATCATCCATGGTGTATTTTAACAATCTCTCTATTTTTATCAGTTTAATTGGGTAAAATTAAGTCACATTTAAACCATACTTTATGTTACTTGTGTTTTCCATTGCTAATGAAGTTGAGCATCTTTTCATACAATGATTAGTCATTTACACCACTTCTGTGAATTTCTGTGCTTGACTTTGTTCCATTTTTAATACATATTTTTTTTTTACTTGCAGGAGGACTATGTATATTAAGGATATTGACCTTTTATTTTTTATATATGATATGGTTTGGCTGTGTCCCCATCCAAATCTCATCTTGAATTCCCACATGGTGTGGGAGGGACCCTGTGGGAGGTGATGGAATCATGGGGCAGGTCTTTCCCATGCTGTTCTCATGGTAGTGAACAAGTGTCAGGAGATCTGATGGTTTTAAAAATGAGAGTTTCCCTGCACAAGCTCTCTTTGCCTGCTGCCATCCACATAAGATGTAATTTGCTCCTCCTTGCCTTCCATTATGATTGTGAGGCCTCCCCAGACATGTGGAACTGTAATTCCAATAAGCCTCTTTCTTTTGTAAATTGCTCAGTCTCAGGTATGTCTTTATCAGCAGCATGAAAACGAACTAATACAGTATATATTACAATTTTTTTTTCCAGGATGCTATTTTATTCTGCAGTGAGGGTGTTATTTTTCTTTCCTTATAAGAGTTTTAAAAACTTTTACAAAGTTTTAAGGGAGACATATTTTGTAGATTCTTTGATTTATTTCTTGTTTATAAAACATTAATCTCTTCAAAGATTATGAATATATCCCCTTTGTCATTTTCTACAAGTAGATTTTTGTTTTATCTTTAGATTTTCTAGACTTTATGGATTTTATTTTTTTGTGTCTCATGTGAGGTATAAATTTTGTTTTCTCCCAAATGCATAGCCAATAGACATTCCAATAGTTTTTAAGTTACATTCTTGAAATCTTACTTTAGGTAGTGTATTAGTCCATTCTCACATTGCTACAAAGAACTACTGGGGACTAGGCAATTTATAAAGAAAAGAGGTTTCATTGGCTCACAGTTTCACAGGCTATGTGGAAGGCATGGCTAGGGAGGCCTCAGGAAAATTACATTCATGGTGAAACTGAAGCAGGCATGCCCTACGTGGCTGGTGCAGGAGGAAGAAAAAGAAGTGGGATGTGCCATACACTTTTAAACAACCAGAGTTCATGAGAACTCACTATCATGAGAACTCACTATCATGAGAACAGCAAGGAGGAAATCTGCCCCAAGACCCAATCACCTTTTATCAAGCTCCTCCTCCAACATTGGGGATTAAATTCAACACAAGATTTGGGTGTGGACACAAATCCGAACCATATGAAGTAAGTTTCCGTTAGTCTTTTTGAAATACAGAATTTATCTCATCTGGCCTCTGTTATTTACTCATTCTGGGAAATACTACTAAGACCATAAAATAATAAAAATGCTACTACTCTTAGTATTCAATATTGAACTTAAGACCCATCACAGGTTTTTCTAGTAAAGAACATAATTTTATGTGATATCATTTTCCCTTTTTTGCCAGATGTCTGCTGTGACCAACAGCATTGAGTTTCCAGGTGGCTAAGTGGGTTAGTTAGGAGCTGTATTGGGTTGCCAGGGATGCCATAACCAAGTATGCTGACTGCGTGGATTAGAACAACAGAAATTTATTTCCTTACAATTCTGGTGGCTAGAAACCAAAGTGTGGGCAGGTTTGGTTTCTTCAGAGGTCTGTCTCTTTGTTTTGTATATGATTATCTTCTCCTCATGACTTTATATGGTCTTTCTTCTGTGTGTGTGTGTCTATGTCTCAATTTCCTCTTCTTACAAGTATACCAGTCACTCAATTAGGGTCCAGTCTAGTGACTTTATTTAACCTTAAGTATCTCTATAAAAATGCTACTTCCAAAAACAGTGATTTTGGAGGATTTGGGATTAGAACTTCAACATATAAATTTTGGCTGGACACAATTAGTCTGTAACAAAAGTATAGTTAATGATGTTGAGATAAAGCTATGCTAACTGGTCCACACAGGTATTGAGCTTGTTAACTTGGGTTTATTGGCCCTACAGATAATCATATTGTTCTCAAACATTAGCATGCATCCTTTTTATTTGGAGTATTTACTAAATCATATGGTTGGGCCCCCACATCAGTGACTTAATTCAGTTGGTCTAGGGTGAGGCCAGATAATTTACATTTTTAACAAGGCCCAAGGCAATGCTAATCTTAGGAACAGACTTTGAGAGCCACTGGCCAAATCACCTAGGCTAAGCGGCAACATGGCATATAGCTATATAAGCAGCTTTATATATGAACTATATAATAAACTATGAAACATTTTTTTTTTTTGAGACAGGGTCTCACTCCGTTGCCCAGGCTGGAGTGCAGTGGCACAATCATGGCTCACTGCAGCCTCAACTTCCAGGGTTCAAGCCATTTTCCACCTCAGCATCTTGAGCAGCTGGGACTACAGGTGCACACCACCAGGCCTAGCTAATTTTTTAAAAAGTTATTTTTTATTTTTTGTAGAAACAGGATCTCACTGTATTGCCTAAGATGGTTTCCTGGGCTCAAGCAATCCTCCCACCTTGGCCTCCCCAAATGCTGGGATTATAGGCATGAGCTACTTTGTCCAGCCTCATGAAGCTTTTTGACAACGCAAAGTTGCTCCACTATTTTAGTAATGGCAATTTCACTAGTTTCCCAAATTGTATTTTTTGCCTCAACACAAAATCATTTAGAACTGAAAAATGTAAAAGCTGTGCAGAAAAGGGCCAGAAGAACATGAGAAGATATGGACTGACAGTAAAAAATGTACATTAAAAAAAAAAAAAACAACAGACATAAGTGAGTCAAGGGTTAGCTGGTCTAAAATCTCTTATTGGTTTCAAAAGGATTTTTGTCATCCTGTAGACAGGCAAAATTCCCATAGTCATCTCTGGGAATATTGCTTATGTTTTATTATTCTAACCAAAGCTTTTCTTCTTTTTAAAGAAAAAGTCCCAGGTCATTTGGATTAATTTTACATTTTCATTCTTACACTTTCAACATTTATAATCGTCTTTGATCCTTGTACTTTCCACTCTTGTTTGAGCCCAGTTGGTCTTAAAATAATTTCCTACTCTAGTAAAATAAATCTTTAATAAGTTGTTGGCTCTCTAGGGGTGTACTGAGTATTTATTTTCCAAATAAAATATAATGCTAATCCTTTTCTTCTGGGACAAGTAAATTATTATAATGGATTTTATTCAAAATAATTAGAATGACAGTTGAGAAAAAGTGAATCAAAACCAAATAAAAATACTTGAATACAAAACACCATTCTAAAGACATTAAAAAGACAGTCTTTTATGCAATTCCAAATAAATGGTATTTCAAAGATAAGAAAAAAACAGAAAAGCTTACTACAGAAGTAAAATCCAGGCTATGCTTTTTCAAGACATAGTTCCATCCAGGAAAATTTCTCTCCTTCCTAAGAAGAATATGCCATTGTCTACTATGAGGTTTACAAAGAATATAAAATATAAACACAGATTAAAATATTTAAAGTACTCACTTTAAACGTTATTGTTCTGAAATGTCCATGCCGTGTCCTAATTCATAAAACTTGAACTATTCAAAGAGTTGAAAATGGCAATACTATATGGTTTTTTTGAAGATTGTGATATTTGTCATCACTTTATGATTTGGGTATTATAAGATTAGTGATTTCTTCACAGAGCTACTCAAGAGAAAATATAAAACAGAGAGCTAAAAAGTGTCCTTAGAATTAAAGAAGCTAAGATTAGAAGTATTACATATTTACTTTCCAAATTGTGGTTAGGCAGATATTAAAATTGTGCTTTAGGGTTGCTTTCAGTGATGTCTTAAGAAATAATGACAATTTTCCATGATGTAGAATTCTCTAGAAAATCTAGCTGTGGCTCCTGAGGTTCTTACCCTTTTTCTGACTTGTGACACACTTCTTCCAGCCCTTATTAATCACACTGATCAGAAACTTGTGAAACTCAGAAAAGGTTTTACAAGAACCCCATGTGCCAATGCCCAGAGGTGCAAAGGAGCTTAGAATTATGTGGTGGTGTACTTCTGGGCTGTAATATAGTCCAACTGTAGAATCAACTGGCCTTTGCCTCTTGTGTTCCCTAATCATGTTGTTAGTTCATCTTCTATGGCTGTGAAGGTAGATTGCTAGTCCGATACTGATTTAAGCTGATTTATGGCTTATGTCCAACTAAATTATAAATATATTTTGAATCAGCTGACCCTTACCAGAACACTCTACCATAGATTGTAATCAATTCAGAATTAAGACAGCAATTCATTCTGGCCTAATGAGGCAACATCAACCACTTAGCCTGTGGGCTGGCTGTGGTGTCACTCACTTGAAATGTGTTTAGGAACTTTCCAGATTCCTGATTTGTGAAGGAGGACAAGTATGGGGAAACATAAAGGGAATACTTTTAATGTCTGTAGTCTCAGAAGAAGAACCTACAGATTTCAAGAACAGAAGATGATCTGTCATCATATTATAACATTGCCTTTGGAAATAATTTAACAGTCATAAGTATTACCAGTAATTCTTTACAAGATTATAACCACCACCTGAAATTCAACTTTCAATTGTAATTCTGGGTAATTTTTTGCAAGTAGGTAAGAGTGTCATTATCAAACTTTAAAATATTAACACCATCTGAAAAAAAAAGCCTGTGGTTAGACCTCTGCTTGCCTAAGGACACATTTTTACTTATAGATACAAGCCCTTTACTCTAATAATTAAGAGATGGCAGATGATTATTGAGTCCTAACATGTGAGCTTATGACTTTGCTTCATTGCATTGGTCACTGCAGGCAAAGTATCATCATGCTTTAATTGATGTATAGCTGTCTGGGTGTTCTTTTTTCCTAACTTCTCATTCCGTAAGGGTTATCACTGAGTTTTGAATTTCCTCTTAAAACATAATTATGACTGTTTTACTTACCTGCTTTTGAATTGTTTTTATTCTTCATTGTCTACAGAATAAGATCCAAACGACTTAGCATGATAATCAAAGATCTTCATTATCTTGTCTTTAGTGGATTATTTCTGGAGAATCTAATTAGTCTATGAATCCTCCTCCTCTGAGATTTTTGAGTCTTTTTCTATCATAATCAGAAGTGTTTACCAATAACTATGTTTATACTCTGTGATTGTCTGGATTTGACCATGTTTACATCTCTTCATTAGCCATAAAAATAAGATTCTCTTGCCTGGAATTTTTAGATTTGTAACCTTTGTAATTATTTAATCTGATCCTTACTGTGGTATTGTTATATCACTGTATTATTATGTCATTTTAAATAGAAAAAACACTATAGCTTGAAGAAGTTATTTGCTAAAATCCCAGAGACAAGATTAAAACATCAGCCTCTTAAGATCCAGGCTACACTGCTGCCATGAAAAAAATTTAAAATATGGTGGTATAATTAAAGAGCCTAATTCACAGGGTTGGACTCTGGTACCATTATTAATAATTCCATTTGTCCAATGTTATTTTAAAGTAACTGTGAAGTCCTAGCCAGGGCAATCAGGCAAGAGAAAGAAAAGGCATCCAAATAAGAAAAGAAGAAGTCAAATTATCTTTCTTCACAGATAATATGATTTTATACCTAGAAAACCCTGACGACTCTAGCAAAAGGCTTCAAGAACTGATAAATGATTTCAGTAAAGCTTTAGTATACAGTGTAAAAAAATCAGTGTAAAAAACCCCTAGCATTTCTGTACAACAATAATATTTAAGCTGAGAGCCAAATCAAGAACACAATCCCATTAATAATAGCCACACACACAAAATAAATTGCCTAGGAATACATCTAACTGAGGAGGTGAAACATCTCTATGAGGAGAACTATAAAACCTGCTAAAAGAAATCAAAGATGACACAAAGGAATGAAAAAAGATTCCATGCTCATGGGTTGGACAAATCAATATCATTAAAATGGCCCCAACTGCCCCAAAAATGTATAGATTCAACACTACCCCTATAAAACTACCTATGTCTTTCTTCATAGAAACAGAAAAAAATTATTCTAAAATGTATATGGAACCAGGAAAGAGTCCAAATAGCCAAGCAATCCTAAGCAAAAAGAAGAAAGCCATAGGCACCACACTACTTGGTTTCAACTTACGTTGTAAGGGTAAAGAAATAAAAACAGGATTGTACTGGTTAAAAAAAAAAAAAGAGAGAGAGAGACACACATAGACCAATGGAACAAAATAGAAACTCAAGAAATAATGCTGCATACCTATAGCCATCGGATGTTTAACAGTCAACAAAAACAAGCAATGTAAAAAGGGCTTCCTATTCAATAAATGTTGCAGGGTTAGCTGGCTACCCATAAGCAGAAGATTGAACCTGCATCCTTATCTTTCACCATATGCAAAAATTAACTCAAGATGTATTAAAGATTTAAATGTAAGACCTGAAACTACATCCTTGAAGAAAACCTAGGAAATGCCATTCTGGACATCAGCAATGGGAAAGGGTTTATGACTAAATCCTCTAAAGCAATTACAACAAAAACAAAAATTGACACGTAGAAACTATGAACAGAGTAAACAGACAACCTACGGAACGAGAGAAAATATTTGCAAACTATGCATCGAGCAAAGGTCTAATATCCAGAGTCTACAAGGAACTTAAGTCAACAAACAAGAACCAAATAAACCCATTAAAAATGAGCAAAGAACACAGACATTTCTCAAAAGAAAATATACAGCCGCCAACAAACATGAAAAAGTGCTCTACGTCGCTAATCATCAGAGAAATGCAAATCAAAACCACAATGAGATACCATTGCACACTAGTCAGAATAGGTATTATTAAAAAGTCAAAAAACAACAGACACTGGCAAGGCTGAAGAGAAAATAAATGCTTATCTTACCTGATGGAAGATCTTATCTGTGAGTTGTCCAGGTTCTTGGTGCATTAAACAAAGAATTGAACAAAATGCACAAACAAAGCAACAAAAGAATGAAGCAATGAAAGAAGAAGCAACAAAAGTGCAGATTTATCGAAACGAAAGTAAAGAGAGGGAGCAGGCTTAAGCAGGTGGCTCAAGAGCTTCGATTACAATGTTCTTTAGGGTTTTTAATCAGCTGAAAGAATTTGGTAACACTCCTAGGTGCCCTTTAGAGGCCTCCAATTGGTTACATCCTATGAAAAGTTGGCCTGTGACCAATCAGAGGCTAAGTAGAGACTTGGCCCGTGGTCAATCAGAGGCTGAAGTGGAAGCTTCTGTCTTGTTATACAGGAGCATCCTGTATGCTGCCTAATCTTGCCTAGAACTAGCTGCACCTGCTGTTCTTTTGCTTCTACCTTAACCCTCAGTTATCCTAATTCTCTATTCTCCTACCTCACTTATACACTGTTGGTGGGAATGTAAATTTGTTCAGCCCTTGTGGAAAGCAGTTTGGAGATTTTTGAAATAACTTAAATAGAACTACCATTCAATCAAGGGATCCTAATACTGGGTATACATCCAAAAGAAAAATTATTCTACCAAAAGACACATGTACTCACATGTTCATTGCAGCACTGTTGACAATAGCAAAGACATGTAATCAGTCTAGGTGCCCATCAACAGTGGATTGGATCAAGAAAATGTGGTGCATATACACCACAGAATACTACACAACCATAAAAAATAACAAAATAATGTCCCTTGCAGCAACATGGATGCACCTAGAGCCCATTATCCTAAGTAAATTAACACAGACACAGAAAACCAAATACCAAATGTTATCACTTATAAGTGGGAGCTAAACATTGGGTACACATGGGCATAAAAATAGCAGCAATAGAAACTGGAGACTATTAGAAGGTAGAGGGAGGGGGACTAGGGCTGAAAAAGTACCTGTTAGGTACTATGCACAGTGCCTGGGTGATGGGATCATTCATATCCTAAATCTCAGCATCACACAATATACCTATGTAAAAAAAACTGCACACATACCCCCGAATCTAAAATAAAAGTTTTAAAAAATAAAGAAATGTGTATTTTATCATTAGCATACTACCCCAAATACTACTCATTAAATTTTTTGTCTTTCCAGAAATATGTCTATCCACTTTAACTCTGCCTTGTAAACATATTAAATAAAAAATCAAGGGAAATGAAAATGTAAAAAATATTTATTTTCAGTTCACTATTAGGTTTAAGAAATTTTTGAGCAATAAAGCCACTTGACATTATTGATGCAAGTATACTTCCATACCAATTTCAAGAGGCAGCTTGAAAAAAAAAGATATGTATATGTGTATGTAAAAGGAAAGGGGTGGGAAATATATTTTTAAAAGTATGCTTTATCCCAGATATTGCACTAGGTATAATTTCTTAATCCTCAAAAAAACAAACAAAACAAAACAAAACAACCCATGAGACAAGTATAATTATCAGTATTTTACAATGAAACTGAAGTATAGAAAAGTATGTGGTACATTTCTAAAAAGCTTGGTACTTTTTAATTTTTCCCAAGACAGCAGATAAGAGGCTTTTAGTGGCCAGGTGTGGTGGCTCAGGCCTGTAATCCCAGAACTTTGGGAGGCCGGGGTGGGTGGATTATGAGGTCAGGATATAGAGACCATCCTGGCTAACACAGTGAAACCTCTTCTCTACTAAAAATACAAAACATTAGCTGGGTGTGGTGGCACATGCCCGTAGTCCCAGATATTTGGGAGGCTGAGGCAGAAGAATTGGTTGAACCCTGGAGGTGGAGGTGGCAGTGAGCCAAGACTGCACCACTGCACTCCAGCCTGGGTGACAGAGAGAGACTCCATCCCAAAAAAGAAAAAAAAAAAAAAAAAGAGGCTTTTGGTATGACTCAGTCACTTGGAAATAGCAAAATAGTGAGAAAAGACCAACTGATATGGTGTGGCTGTGTCCCAATCCAAATCTTATCTGGAATTGTACTCCCATTATTCCCACATATTGTGGGGGGAAGCTGATGGAAGATAATTGAATCATGGGAGGGGTTTCCCTCATACTGTTCTCCTTGTGGAATAAGTCTCATGGTATCTGATGGTTTCATCAGGGTTTTCCACTTTTGCATCTTCCTGATTCTCTCTTTGCCTGCTGCCATACATGTAAGACGTGACTTGCTCCTCCTTGCCTTCCACAGTGATTATGAGGCTTCCCTAGTCATGTGGAACTGTAAGTCCAATTAAATCTCTTCCTTCTGTAAATTGCCCAGTCTCAGGAATGTCTATATCAGCAGCATGAAAATGCACCAATACACCAATTCTATTTGCTTTAATTCAAAAAGAAGAAGGGAATTTACTAGAATAGTGAACAATACTGCAGATTCTGGGGAGGTGAAAGTTGATGAACAACTCCCAGGACAATGTCAGGCTGATAAAAGTGAGTGAAAATCCAGTATGAGCAAGGGGCAGAGTCTTCTTTTGTGATTCACCTTTCCACTAGGGATCCAGGCAACCCAGGCCAAGGGAAAGCACTTTGTTTCTCCGAAACCCTGGGCTAATGTTGGGAGAGGATTGGAGAAGTAGAGAGGGAAAGACACTGGGAAAAGCTTTAGGCATTTTCTCAGATCCAGGACTGAAAGCAGGGTGTCATTTTTTACCTGGGCTCATGTGAAGTCAGCCATTTTTTGGCAACCCAGCAGTGTGGCCAAGCAAGCATTTTAGTTAGGTCAGAGATTGGTGCAGTTATTCTGGAGTGGGGCATGACCCCGCTACCAGAATTGAGTGACAAATTTGGAAAGCATCCCAGCAGTAGGCACTGGAATTAGGCTCTCTCCCATCACAGGTATGGAGTGAAAGGAGAATTTCTGAAGCCATGCTTTCTCCTAGTTGGTGAGATCTGCAGCCAGGGTCAGCTTTGCAAACTGGAACCAGTCTGCATGTGTAGTTGCTGTGTGCCCCAGCGTGCTTTCCTGAGATCATGGTGCAGCAGCTATCTCTCTGTTCCACACCCATGTATATCTCCAGGTGCTTGGAATACCAGAATAAAAGAAATAACTAACATCGAGAAGAGTTAAATGTAATTAAGACCCACAAAAGGATGAATGAAATGAAAGTTTGTGTTTTGAAAGGATAGATGAAACAGACTGCTAGGTAGATTAACAAAGAAAAAAGAGAGAAGATACAAATAAACACAATGAGAAATAAGAAAAATGGCATCAGAACCGATCCCACAGAAATATAAAAGATGCTCAGAGATGGTGTAAATATCTTTATGCACACACACTAGCACACCTAGAGGAAATGGATAAATTCCTGGAAACACAGTCTCCCAAGATTGAACCAGGAAGAAACAGAAATCCTGAACAGAGATATAACAAGTAATGAAATTGAATGACTAAAACAAAACAAAGCAAACAAAAACTTACCAATAAAAAAAAAGCCATTCAGATGGATTCACAGCTAAATTCTACCAGATGTACCAAGAAGAGCTGGTACCAACCCTACTGAAACTATTCCAAAATATTGAGGAGGAGAAACTCTTCCCTAATTCATTCCATGAAACTAGTATCAACCTGATACCATAATCGGCAAAGACACAACAAAAAAGAAAACTACAGTCCAATATCGCTAATGAGCATGGATGGAGAAATCCTCAATAAAATACTAGCAAGCTGAATTTGGGAGCACATCCAAAAATTAATTCATCATGATCAAGTGGGCCCAAAGTTTGAAAATCCAGTTTTAAACTATCTGTATTACTATCTGCACCACTTTTGTGGGTGTAGATGGAAAAGGTTATTTAAGGAAAAATCACACAGAATTTATTAGTTCAGCATTTGGGGTTTCAGTTACAGAAAGCACTCAGTCTTAGTTATTTGGAAACCTTGTTACGCACTGGGAATGGCTATAGTGCAATACTTATGTTTTCCCTTTGACTTTGCTATTTTGTGCCTTCAGGATTCCTGTAATCATACATTAGTTTTTTTGAAGCT